ATCATAAGCTTCACCTCACATGATTGATTAACTTCTGTAAAAATACCATTTGACATTTTAACTAATAGTACTATAGACATTGAAATAACATTCAATTGTATCACTTTAGCCAATTTATCAGTTCTGAATGAGTGTAATGCCCCCAAAATAAATTATACTCTTATCGACGTACTCTGAAGATATATGATACATAACATTAAAATCATCACATTAAAATATTTAGAGTAGGCATATTATTATATTTAAATTTTTACATGTTTTATGCATGACATGTCATAAAGTTCATTATGCTTAAAAATGCACTTAGTTAAAAGTCTTAAAAAATAAAGCATACCTGTTATGATGTTAGGGAAGTCCTTAGCTTCATACTGTGAAAGAGCATATATTATGAGCTGAACATTTTGTTGCGTTTGACTTGCAAATGGCACTAATATTGAAGATTCAGCTACCCTTGGTATACCATAGCTTCTTTGAGGTGGTACAGCGTTGCTCATGAAATTTGTCGGAGTCCTCTGGCCAAATTCAAGGCATTTCTTCGTCATATGTCTTGACTGGTGGCACCAAAAGCAACTGTTGGATCTAGATAGACGCCCACCCTTATGAGAACTTTCACACTTATCAAATTTCTTTGCTTCAAGCTGAGTGCCAAGGTTATTAGATCTAGCATTTTTTGGAACCCGTACCACTCGATTGGAATGATTGCATCCAAGAGCTTTAAGAAAACCTGGATCCCTCTAAATTTCTTCACTTTTGAATGTCCCTCCTTTTTTGAACAGCTTGTAGATCTAACTTAATCTTCCCGGTTCTTTCCACCTACATAGAATAATAATCGATTCCAAGAGGAATCAATGAATGTCTAATCACATCCATGAGCCTAGAAAAAAATCCATGACACTTCTCCTATGCATTAGAAATCAATTGAGGCACATATTTTGAGAACAAGGTGAATTCATCTTTATATTGCTTAATGGATCTATCACCTTGTACTAATCAAATAAACTTGTTTTTCATTTTCCTTTTGGCAAATAATGATACAAACCAATATCTAAAAGTGCCCACAAACTCTTCCCATTGAATCATGTGACTGGATCTAACCCCATATTTCTCCTGTAATTATCCTCACCATCATCTCTCTACTTCTCCCTCTAATGGAAATGTAGCCATTGTAATCATCCGCTCTGGAGGACAAGACACTCCATCTAAAAGCTTCTCCACTCTGAGGATCTATTACCCTAATTAACTTGCCGAGTTTATTCACCTAGCAACAACTACCTAGTACCAACTGTCAGGTTGACCTATTGAGTTCTCCTACTAGGCACCAACTACCAGACTCAGATGTACGACTGCATCACTAACAAAGAGAAAATGTATGTCCACATCTATTTGTGACATCCATGTCCTCGTAACCTTTCAATGGTATTCTATGGGTAGACCTCATGTTGTATTATAATCATATAATATTCCTTCATTGTAACCTAATGAGGAGAAGATGTCATCTTGTAAATAGTGATTTTCTCCAACTTTCGAATGAATGGAGGATCTTCTCCCTTTATCCATTTCTAAGATAAAAGGCAATAGCTCTCGAACCACACATCTCCTTCCTTCTACCACTTCCTTCATAGGTATTTTCTAGGATGTATGAGCTAACTACCAAATACATGATTTAACATCCAATAATGAGTAAGGTGCATTAACAAACTAGAAAAACTCCATATAAATTTTAAACTAAAAAAATACATATAGAAAAATTCCTAATTTGGCAGGTAGCGATCATCACAACATATAAATATATATATATATATGCTAATAATTATCAATGGTCAATATTTTCTTTAATTTAGTTCACAAATGAAATAAAAAAAAAGAAAATCAATAAAATTTTGCGAGTAATCAATTTAGAGCTGTCATGCAAACACGTTCAAGCCAAAGAGAAGAATATATTGGGCCGGGCCGTCAACACCCTAGCAACTTATAATGGATTTCGTTGTCTACAGAGGGCCACTAGAAGGCCACATCCAAAATTCCTACAGGGTGGAAGCTTCAAGGTCTACTCTAGGGTGCTCTCAGCTCTCCTCATTGTAGCTTAGATCATCACCTTGATCACAAAACCCTTTGGATTTGAGTCTCTCCTGCATTGCTAAAATAAGCTAACAAAATCGATATCTCTAGCAAACACTAGGTACGTTAAACATATCTATGTCTAATAATTAATACGGTGGATAAAAGGGAGTATTTTGAGGAGCGAATACTACGTGCACCAGGCGTCCGTGCAGACTCTGGTATTCAGCTGTATTGGGCTGGTATTGCACCTCAATACACCTGCAATACCACCACAATACCACAAATACTACCTGAATCCCACGCCCGTACCACCAATCCGCTCCTAGTCCGCACACAATATTTTTTCCACACAGAGGGGAGCTCAATTACATAAACCGTTCTTAATTGTGGCTAATGTGCTTTGAATGGGCTTGTCTGGTGTTAACCACACTAAATGAGGGCTTAAACCCAGGGCTTCAACAGTGAAGCAAATCAGACCGTTGTTTCTTCCTCATTGTAAAGGACCATCCATTATGAAACTGATGCATTTACATATATACCATCCAAATCCTACGTATTTCCTTATCTATCACCAAAGCCATAATTTTTATACTAATACCATCCAAATCATCCATAGTTGAAGTGGTATATATGTAAAAATTAAAGTATAGGTGTCAGATATGTAAATGCAAAGGATTTGAGTGGTATGTATGTAAATACTCCTATAAAATATTTTTCAAAATCAACAAGCAGCCAAATGAAATTTCAAAAAAATGACAATGCTATCCCAAATGGATAATATTTATATAAAATGAATATTTAACAATAAATTAGATAATTTATAAATTGAATCCATCAATTAAAATAATTAATTATCCTCCATAATTTCCGGCCTTGATCCCTTCAATGAGCGACAAATCATGCCCTCATTTAACTAAAAAAACTAAAACCTAATCGTTATGAAACAGGACTTCGGATTCTGGCAATCATTAGAGGCTGATGCAGCCCTGAAATTGCTTGGACTCCAAATGGCAAGATAAGTCCTTATAAAAGCCCCGCTAGACGGCAACGACAATGTCCATTCATGATGTTACCCCATACATTTAAAAATGATGTTAATTAATGAAAGTTTACTAGTATCTTAATGATGTGGGGGGACAAATTAAGGGGCAGAACGGGAAATGCTCTCTTCTGCCGTTCGTAGGTTCCACT